CGGGCGGGGGGCAGCCTCTGCAGGAGGGCTGCTGCGCACCACGAGGGCGCCCGGCCCGGCGGGGCGGGGTCCCTTGACTCGCTCCCCTCCTTCTCTGCGGACCGTTTGCGCCTTTCTCCTGCCTCTGCCCCGTTTAGCTGGGGGCCACCAGCTCTGCTGTGGGGCAGTGGTCCCCCTGGTCCCCCTGGCCAGCGTCCACCACGGGGGTCCCACAGCCTTCAGGGTTGCGTGGACCACAGTGTCTGCCCCTGCCCCTTGCTCTGTTCTTGTCCAGATCTGAGGCGAAGTCCATGTCCCACGCTAACTACGACAACCCCAGCTGGGGGTACCTGCCTCGGCCACTTCTCTGTCTCGTGCTGGGCCCCCCTGAGCCCACCTCTCCTCGGCCAGTCTGCACATGGCCAGCCTTCTTGGGCCTATCTGCTCCCCACCGTGGCCTGCTCATGTGCCCCCACCTCGGCTGCACACCCAGCATGAGACCCCAGTCCCCGGGAGGGGTGGCCTTGGGACCCCTGGGTGCTGAGCTCATGCCCCTGTACAGGTGTCCACAGGTCCTGGTCACGCACCCTCACCCCCACTACATCCCGTCTGGTGTCACCATCCTGGTCTCAGTCCCCAGGTTGTAGCAGGGCCCCCCCGCCCTCAGGCAGGCTCTGCCTCAGCACCTGTACTGGTCCACTCGTCTTCCCCCTTCTGCCGAATTTTGCTTGTGACGCTGTCCACCTGAGCACCTGGCCTCCCCGAGCCACCCACAGGCCCCTTCAATGTGGCCTTCGCGTACAACAGAGAGGAGAGCTCTTGCTTGCACCCCGGCCTGGGCAGCGAGGCCACCAGTCTCAATCAAGTGTGCTGCCCAGTGGTCCCTCCTGCCTGTCCCACCGGTGCTTTCCCCCTGCACCCGCAAGGGAGCGGCCGAGTGCACCTGTGTGCCCCTCCTGGTCCTGAGTCACACGTGCTGTGTGCTGGAGGCTGCACTCTGGACTCGGATGGGCCTCCTTGAGGGTACCGTGTGCATGGGCATGGGAGGGCTGTGGCCGTCTGATCGGGCAGAGCAGCCTCATCTGGGAGACTCGAGGCGCGGCTCGGAGCAGTGGGCGGGGAGGGTCTGGGCTCGGGGAACGCAGTGTGCCGGGAGATGTGGGGTCCCCCTGACTGAGAAGGCTGGGTGAGGCTGGGCGGGGCAATGCTTTAAAGGGCTCGTCTGGTTGCTCTGTGAGGACTGGAGAACAGGGACTCGGAGGGAGCTGCTAGGCAAGGGGGACAGCGGTCAGGTCCTGGACGTCCTGTAATAACGACGCCACAGACTTCCACATGGAACCGCAGCTTCACAGCACGCACAGAAACGAAGGACACTTCTGAAAGCAGACGTAGACGTGTGTCGCGGTCGTTCACCAGAAGACACGATGAAGGGGGGGGTACCACCAGCCCAGACGCGGCTGAGTGCCACCGCAGTCGTGGAGAATGCCCCCGGCATTGTCCCCGTCCCTCTGCGCGAGAGGTCACAATGCTGGCCTCTCCGCGGGCCGGGAGGGCACCTGGTTTTCAGTTTTGGTGTGCGTTGTGCACCTTGGCCTCCTTCAGCCAGCTGGTTGACTGGCTTTGTTGTGACTCCCACAACCAAGGGCCCATGCACATCAGAATATCAGCAGGA